TGGGCGCTGTTAACAAGCTTTACTACTACAATTTTGAGACCTCTGAAAGTTACGAGGTAAGGGAAATGTGGCGGGACAAAATTCAGCCATTGAAATTCAGAGCTCAAAATTGCATGTTAATTTTGTTCAGGATCTTGAATTTGGAATTCTGCTTGAATCTGAAAAGCGCCTGCCGTTACGTCACATAATATTATTCAAGCAATTAGCTTGCGGAACTCACCGCCACAAGATTGCAGATTCATAGTGGGTGGATCTGTTGAATCTGAAAAGCGCCCACTTACATCAAATTACATTTTTCACTCAATTAGCCTGCGGAACTCACTGCAACGTGATTGAAGATTCATGGCAGGTGGATCTCTTGGGGACTGCTCACCTTGATGGCTAAATGAAACTTTCATGTTTGGGCCCGGCTACCTAAGCACATCAGTTGCTGGACACCAGATGTCAGAGGAAGGGGTTGGCGCCTCTGTGAAGCCATAACAAGGTCAAGAACCCAGAATATCGGCCTTTTTTGATAGCTTTAAACGGAGGCCTAAAATTCACAGAGGGTGGCCAGTAGTCTTAAGGCTAAACGGAATCTCCATGTTCAGGAGCAGTTATCTCTGAAACCAATTGGTGGGGGGGAGCAACAGGAGGAAACAACTTGTTGCCTTCATGCCCATTTTAGTAGGATTGCTAATTCCAGGTTAACATAAGAACATAAGAGACGCCAATGTTGGATCAGGCCAATGGCCTATCCAGTCCAACACTCTGTCACACAGTGCCCAAAAATACCAGGTGCCATCAGGAGGTCCGACAGTGGGGCCAAGACACTAGAAGGCCCTCCCGCCCAGGCACCAAGAATACAGAGCATCACTTGCCCCAGATCGAGAGTCTCTATCTATAAAGCTAAAGGTTCCCTTGCTCGAAAACCAGTCTAATCTGACTCTAGGGTTGCGGTGCTCATCTCTGTTTCAAAGCCGAAGAGCCAGCGCTGTCCGAAGACGTTTCCGTGGTCATGTGCCCGGCATGACTAAACACCAAGGCGCACGGAACGCTGTTACCTTCCCACCGAAGTGGTCCCTATTTATCTACTTGCAATTTCTTGCTTTCGAACTGCTACGTTGGCAGGAGCTGGAACCAGAGACGGGAGCTCACTCTGTCATGCGGCACACTCGGGTCTCGAACTGCTGAACTACCGACCTTCCACAGCCTGCAGTTCAGCGTCTTAACCACTTGAGCCACCGCAGCTCCTACCTTGTGGCTAATTAATATCCATGTGTGTGTGAGAGAGTGTAAATGAAAAGCAACTTCAGGAGGGTAAGATCTTCCGATGAGGATCAATGTGTTTGTGTGTTTGCATAACCCTTTCCCCTAGCCCCTCTCTCTTTTTGCTTCATTCATTACCCCTCAACTGATTTCCCATTACATGTTTCCAAAAGTGTGTTGTAAAAAAAGAAATAGCAGGGTATAACTTCATCGAGTCCACCCTGCAAAGCTACCATTTTCTCTAGAGGAGCTGACCTCTGTGGTCTGGGGACAAGTTGTGATTCCGAAAGGTCTCCAGACCCTACTTGGAGGTTGGCAACCTGCATTTTAGGAGCTTCCTGAAGGTATTGGAAAGAGGATGCCGAATTAAATGGGCTCTCGGTCTGATCCAGCAAGGCAGAAAGGATTATGCCTGTCTGTCCCCCCCCCCCCCCGAAAAAAAAAAGAAGATTCAGTTCCATCGGGGATCCGTCTGGGAAGAACAGCAGCGTTTCCGTATCGAAGCGATCTGTTGTGTTGGAATCGGAAACTGTTCCGGTTTGTATCCAATGCTGGAAACCTGGGGGGGGGGGCAGTGATGCGGAAATTTCCCCACTGGGCAAAACCAAGAATCCCTCCAGTGCCCTGGTTCTGTCCACCAACAGTGGGCAGCCACATGCCGCCTCTTCGGAATCAGCCGTGGCTTTGTGGCAGAGCCTCAGCTTTGCATGTGGAAGGTCGCTGGTTCATTCCCTGGGGTCTGCAGCGGAAGGGAAGCAGGCGTTGGTGGAAGAGCCTTCTCCGCTGACGAGCAGCTGCCGGTCAGAGTAGACTAGACAATAGCAAATTGGACCTTTATCTGAGATTTACCTTTTCGTACGTGGTTGCCAGGTCGCCCTTGGCCTCAGGTGAGGGACGAGGGGGTAGGTTTGCCCAGGGGTCATTTCCTGCCGGAGCACACAGGAGCCGAGCTCCGGCAGTAAAGAGCCCAGGGGGCGGGCACATGCAACAAGCCCCACCCCCTGCTCCCAGCAGCCACCAATCAGAGCAAGAAGCAGCCAGGTAAGTTGCAGAGCTCTCCCCGGCCCCCAGGACTAAAACAGTCCAGTGGCACCTTTAAGACCAAGTTTTATTCAGGTACAAGCTCTCCCTCCTCTGTGGGGACAGATTTGCACGTTCCCCCCCCCAATAGCTAGGAATCCAAAACAGTCCAGTGGCGCCTCAGTGGTGGGTGTGGCCTTCTGACACACTTCCGGTGATGTCAGGGGGTGTGGCATATGCAAATAAGTTATGCTAATGAGCGTCTGCACCTCTTTTTCTACAAAATGACCCCTGGGTTTGCCAGATCCAGGTTGGGAAAGTCCTGGAGATTTGGGGATGGAGCCTGGGGAGGACAGGGACCTCAGTGGGGTGCAATGCCACAGCACCCTCCAAAACACCCATTTTTCTCCAGGGGAACTGGTCTCTGTAGTTAAGCTGTAATTTCAGGGGATCCCCAGGTCCCACCTGGAGATTGGCATCTTTATACATGGCGGTTCATGAGCTTGGCTGGATGGACACACCAGCCTTTTGCTTCTTCCCCCAACATCTGGTTGTCCACTTCTCGCTAAATGTAGTATGTGCTGGCCTGAATCCAGGGAAACACTTTCCGAGTCCCCGTCCGCTCATCTTCATTTCCATTTATGCAAAAGGAACGATCTGAACATTGTGGCCATGAGAGACGTAATCTAAAATCTGAGCAACGTACATTGTGTTTCCTTTTTTAATTTGCCTTCAATAAATAAAGCTCCACTTGTACATTACAGTGGGCCTCTCGGTATTCTGAGTGAACCATTTCTCCCCCACGGAGTTTCTCCGCCGCTAAAACCTCCATTATACCCTCTCCGTGTTCAGAGGCAGTAAACATCTGAATACCGGATCGGTTGCCCAACAGCAGATAAAACTGGGTGTCATCCGCATACTGAAGACAGCCCAGTCCATACCTCTGGGCAACAGGGCGCATATAGATGTTAAAGAGCATCGGGGGCAGCACCGTTCCTTGGGGCACTCCACATTCCAGTGGGTGCCTTCGGGACAGCTGATTCCCCAGCGCCACTCTTTGTCCCCGACCCTGGAGAAAAGGAAACAAGCCACTGTAATCCAGTTTGGTGTAGTGGTTAAGTGCACGGACTCTAATCTGGGAGAACCGGGTTTGATTCCCCACTCCTCCACTTGCACCTGGCTGGATGACCTTGGGCAAGCCATAGTTCTGATAAGAGCTGTCCTTGAAAAAGAGCAATTTCTGTCAAGAGCTCTCTCAGCCCCACCTACCTCCCAGGGTGTCAGTGGTGGGGAGGGAAAGGAGTTTGTAAGCCGCTCTGAGACTCCTTTGGGTAGTGAAGGGCGGGGTATAAATCCAATCTCTACTTCTTCTTCTTCTTTCCCACAATACAAGAACTCATGGGCTCTCGATTAAATTAATGAGCCGTAGGCTTAGAACAAGTCAGAGGAAGTCATTCACACATGGAATTCACTGCAACAGGAAGTGGTGGCGGCTACAAGCATAGACAGCTTCAAGAGGGGACTGGAGAAACCTATGGAGCAGGAGTTTGTAAGCCGCTCTGAGACTCCTTTGGGTAGTGAAGGGCGGGGTGTAAATGCAATGTCTACTTCTTCTTTCTCACAATACAAGAACTCATGGGCTCTCAATTAAATTAATGAGCCGTAGGCTTAGAACAGGTCAGAGGAAGTCCTTCTTCACACCAAAGAGTCATTCATACATGGAATTCACTGCAACAGGAAGTGGTGGCAGCTACAAGCCTAGACAGCTTCAAGAGAGGACTGGAGAAACCTATGGAGCAGAGGTCCCTCAGTGGCTCTTAGCTTAGTGGAACACTCTGTCTGGTGTTGTCTTTGTTGTCTTTGTTGTCTTTGTCTTCGTCATCTTCATCGTCTTTGTCGTCTTCGTCCTCTTTGTCCTCTTCTTCTTCTTCATTCTCTTCTTCCTCTTCATCCTCCTCTTTGTCTTCCTCCTCTTCCTCCTCTTCTTCTTTAAGGCTAGTCCCTGGATTGCGGTGTCGATGAGGCGGTGGATCAGTAGCTGATGGTCGACTTTTTCAAACAGCAACAGCACTGCCGATCTGCCCCGATCCAGATTCCTTCAGGGGTCATCTGTGAGGGCAACCAGTGCCGTCTCCGTCCTGTGACCAGGGCAAAAGCTGGATTGGAAGGGATCTAATACAGGAGCATCATCCGGGAAGCTCTGTAACTGAAGCGCCACTGCCCTCTCTATTATCGTACCCAAATAGGGCAGGTTGGACACTGGCCAACAGTTGGCCAATTCGGCCAGGTCCAAGGATGGTTTTTTCAGGAGGGGGCGCACCACTGCCTTCTTAAGTGCCTCCGGGAACTGTCCCTCCGAGAGGGACTTGTTGATGATCTCCTGCATGGCATCCGCTTTGACTTTTTATCTAGCTTTCGTCCTGGTGGGTGGGTGGCTATCAGTGGGTATAGATAGACAGCAGACTAACAGTATGGTTCTTTTATCTCTCTCTTTCTTCCAGGAGCCTTTCAACGTAACGCAGTCCAAATGCAGAGATTCGGTAAGTTTGGAACAATAGCTGCAGTCATTCCTGAACGGGGTGGGGCTCATGACTCCATTCCTTGTAGAACAGGGGTAAAAGGTAAAGGTAAAGGTTCCCTTGCTCGAAAGCCAGTCGAATCCGACTCTAGGGTTGCGGTGCTCATCTCCGTTTCAAAGCCGAAGAGCCAGCGCTGTCCGAAGACGTTTCCATGGTCATGTGGCCGGCATGACTAAACACCAAGGCACACGGAACGCTGTTACCTTCCCACCGAAGTGGTACCTATTTATCTACTTGCAATTTCTTGCTGTCGAACTGCTAGGTTGGCAGGAGCTGGAACTAGAGACGGGAGCTCACTCTGTCATGCGGCAACCCGGGTCTCGAACTGCTGAACTACTGACCTTCCACAGCCTGCAGTTCAGCGTCTTAACCACTTCAGCCACCGCAGCTCCTAGAACAGGGGACCTGCAACTTTTCTGAGCCTGTGGGCGCCTTTGGAGTTCTGACACAGGATGACGGGCGCAGCCACACAATGGCTGCCTTGGACTGACTAAGCCAGCCACTGAAGGACTGCTGCGGCCGAAGCAACATTTTTAAAAAATCTGCCCAGCCAATGAAATCTCCGGTGGTTAATCAGGAGCCTTGCTGGGTAAAAGCCCTACCTGGTCCACTGCCCACTTCCTAAAAATACTTTGCCAGTTTGGTGCAGTGGTTAAGAGCGCGGATTCTAATCTGGGAGAACCGGGTTTGATCCCCCCACTCCTCCACGTGCAGCTGCTGGTGTGACCTTGGGTCAGCCACAAGTTCTCTCAGAGCTGTTCTCTCAAGCACAGTCCTCGAAAGAGCTCTCTCAGCCCCCACCTACCTCACAGGGTGTCTGTTGTGGGGAGGGGAAAGGAAAGAAGAAGAAGAGATTGGATTTATACCCCGTCCTTCACTCAGAATCTCAGAGCGGCTTACGAATTCCTTTTCCTCCCCCTCCCCACAACAGACACCCTGTGAGGTAGGTGGGGCTGAGAGAGCTCTTGCAAGAGCTGGCCTTTCAAGAACAGCTCTTATCAGAACTATGGCTTGCCCGAGGTCATCCAGCAGCTGCAAGTGGAGGAGTGAGGAACCAAACCTGGTTCTCCCAGATTAGAGTCCACACACTTAACCACTACACCAAACTGGAGATGTAAGCCGCTCTGAGTCTCCGACTGAAGGGCGGGATATAAATCCGATTTCTTTTTCTTCTTCTCGGCAAGTGCCAAGAAAAGTGTCGGCTATGGTGCCCTGTCCTGGAGCCTCGCGGGCTGGCCTGTTGGCATTTTGACGAGGCACCTTGCGACAGACTTTCAAACATTATCCGAGTCCTCTTTGAAGCCACAAACCGACCTTCGTTCCCACGCTGTGGGAGACTCCCGCTAGCTCACGCATCCCAGGCGCTGTGCGATTATCAGCTGGGTTTCAGGCCGAGTGTGGGCGGCTCGCCTGGGTCTGGGTCTTACAAGGTCAGCCACCAGATCCCACAATCCTTAGCACTAGAGGATCTGGCACGGCTGCTGTGCGTGGGAATGTCTGGTCCCTTATCTTCACCTTCCTTTATTTTCTGTTTTTCCAGGCACATTCCCAGAACTATCTCACGCTCGTGGTGAACTACAAAGGGAAGCTGCTGGTATGCGGGACCAATGCCTGTTCTCCGACTTGTTGGAATTGGGTACGTAAGGGAGCTTTTGCTTTTCGGCTACCGAGCGGCGGTTCTTGCCGATATTGATACGCCTGGTAGCTTACGAGAGGTCTCCGTCCCAGAAGCTGGAGGCCGTACTCGTCTCTCTTCCTTTGCGAAGCCGTCGAGGATCAGGAAAGGAGGAGACCTTTGAGGAAACGCAACTCCCATTGAGAAACCCGACCGAGGAAGAATTAAATAGGAGGCTTTTCGCCCCTTAAAGACTAACGCCGTTTTGTTCCTATGTAAATTTTCATGGA